TTGTGTCATATTAAGAGGACAGCTCTTAATAACTGTACTACTTTGAAGCTGTGTCTTTGGGTTTGGTTTTGACTTTCTAAATCATCCTTTACACTCAAAACATTTTTAGATTGGTTCCTACTTCGGTGCTGAGCTGTGCTCATTAGATGTTGATTCAGATGGGAGCACTGACTTCCTGCTGGTAGGAGCTCCACAGTTTCATCTGCCTCAGGTGAAGAAAGAAGGCCGGGTCTACATCTACTCTGTGAGCAATGAGGTGAGCTATAATAAAAACTAAGATCCAGTGTGACACTGTGTGAGCTTTAAAGCTGATAAAATAAATGCATGTGTTTTCATAGTCCATTATTAACATCCTCATTTCCTATTAGACTGTACTGGAAAGTAACCAGGATGTGACGGGACCATCTATGGGTAGATTTGGCACCACCATATCCAGTCTTCCAGACCTGAATGGAGATGGACTCCGAGACATAGCTGTCGGAGCTCCGCTTGAGGATGATAAGAGCGGGGCTGTGTATATCTACCATGGCAACAGGCAGAGAGGGATAGTCAGCACTTTCAGCCAGGTGACACCGACAACACTACTGTGCAAAGGTCTTGAGCCACATGTCATGTCTTTATATTCTGCTTTTAAAATGCTAAGTAGGTGTAGTGATTTCTTGCAAACATGTGCAAAATACATGGAAATACGATATAAGAGGCAAAAATAGAGTTTGTACAGTTATAACAAGCTTTGGACTGCCTCTATTCTTTTACACAGCCCGAACTCTCTTAGGCAGGTCATTTCTTTCTTGCAATTGGTAGTCTTCAGGATTAGTTCCTTAAAGGACATTCAAAGCTTCTCTTTGGATGTTGGCTGCCTTTTGTTCTCTATAAAGATGATCCCACACTGCTTCAGTAACGTTGAGGTCCAGGCTCTGGGGAAACCAGTCGATGACTGTTAGTGTTCCACTGTGTGCTTTTCTATAAAGGTATACTTTTACTGTGTTGGCAGCGTGTTTGAGATCATTGTGATGCTAAAAAAAA